TTCCCAGAAAGTAGAGTAAAAGTAAAAAGAGGAAAAAAAAAAAAAAATACAAGAGAAAAAAAAATCAAAATTAGAAGACCAGAATAGAAAACAAATCATCTGAATAATAGGTGTTCTAAAAAGAAAGAAGTGAGAAAATAGGTAACCACCAAGGGAACAATTTCAGAAAATTTCTTAGAACTGATAAGAATTGCCAGATTGAAAGGATCACCAACTGCCCAGAACAGTGGATAAAAATAAACCTACAACAAAGCAATTCTCAAGAGAAAAAAAAAAAAAAGTACAAAGGATTAGGAATCAAAATTACCTAGGATTTCAGGGTCCACCTTGAAAACAAGAAGACAGTGCAGCAAGGTCTACAAAATTCTGAAGAAAATGAATTACAGCCAAGAACAAGGTCATCTCTGAAGGTCATTTCAAAACATTTACTTCCCATCTACTCAACCAAAATGAGAGCTGACAAAATAAGAAAGTTACAGAACACAGGAAGTAATAGATAGAGCCTGAGAGAGAAGGAAATCTTAGGAGGACCGGTCTTGTTTGGGGAGTGGTATGGCTCATAAGATGGACATGTTAAAGGTTTGTGCCATGCCCTGACCCCTTCATCTTTATCTGAACACAGAAGCTCCAGGCAAGCAGAGTCCACAATTATATCTGTATTTGTCTGCCTTGGCCCTGTGCTGTAAAGCTCCTGCTCTGACTTTATGCCCTTGTGCTAGGCTCAGTGGATGCTGCTCACCACCCCCTATAGGAGGTATTACTCCAGCCTCCTTCTGACAGCCAGAGGGAGCCACAGGCAGCTGAGAGCTGGAAAGCTGAGCAACCCACTTGCCTGGAACATCCTCCTGCTGGACATACAGTCGCGAGCCCACACCACAGCTCTGCCTGACTTCAGTGAGCCAATGTTCCCAGGACCCACTGACTTCCCCAGGGGCGCCTGGAAACTCTCAGGACATGAAGCCAGACTCCTCTCAGCGCCTCCAGCCAATAGTGGCAATGGTGACCCTTCATTACACAAACTACACTTTCCAAATGAAACCATATATTTTACTTAGGGATATTTGTAATATGGGAGGCTCTGGTAGCGTAATGCCTAAGGCACTTGACTGCTAACAGGAAGGCTGGCAGTTCAAACCCACCAGCCACTCTTTGGAAGGAAGGTTGGGCAATCTACTTCCGTAGTGATACTGCCTCAGAAACCCATGGAGGGGTCGCTAGGAGTTGGGTCTGAGTTGATGGCACATAACGACAACGACAAACATACATAAAATATATAATAAGAAAAAATTCAAGCCTCAAGTTGCAGTATTGAAGGATTCCATGGGCAAAATATTGAATGATGCAGGAAGCATCAAAAGAAGATGGAAGAAATACATGGAGTCACTGTACCAAAAAGAATTGGTTGAAGTTCAGCTCTTTTAGGAGGTGGCATATGACCAAGAACTAATGGTACTGAAGGAGGAAGTCAAAGTTGCACTGAAGGAATTGGTGAAAAACAAGGCTCCAGGATTTGACAGAATACCCATTGAGATGTTTCAACAAATGGACACCACGCTGGAAGCACTTACTTGCCTCTGCCGAGTAATTTGGAACAAGCTATCTCATCAACTGACTGGAAGAGATCTATATTTGTGATCATTCCAAAGAAAGGTGGTCCAACAGAATGTGGAAATTATCAAACAATAGGAGCTCAGGTAGCATAGTGGCTAAAGCACTTGACTGCTAACCAGAAGGCTGACGGTTCAAACCCACCAGCCACTCCTTGGAAGGAAGGTTGGGCATTCCTACTTCCATAGTGATACTGCCTCGGAAACCCAAGGAGGGGTCGCTATGAGTCGGGGCCGACTCGACGGCACATAACAACAACAACAACATCATTAATATCACCAAACCAAAGCAAACTCACTGCCGTCAAGTCCATTTCAACTCATAGCAACAGTTTCTTGGGTTCCCAAGGTGATATCTCTCTGGAAGTAGATCGTCCAATCTTCCTTCCGAGGAGTGGCTAGTGGGTTTGAACCATCAGCCTTCTGGTTACCAGTCAAATGCCTTAGGCACTACACCACCAGAGTTCCCATTAATATCACACACAAGTAAAATTTTGCTGAAGATAATTTAAAAAATGATTGCAGAAGTATATTGACAGGAAACTTCCAGAAATGCAAGCTGGATTCAGAAGAGAACATGGAATGAAGGATATCATTACTGTTGCCGGCTGGATCTTGGCTGAAACCAAAGAATACCAGAAAGGTATTTACTTGTGTTTTATTGACTATGCAAAGGTATTCAACTGTATGGATCATAACAAATTATGGATAACATTGCAAAGAATATAAATTCCAGAACACTTAATTGTGCTGAGGAACCTGTACATAGACCAGGAGGCTGTTGTTCAAACAGAACAAGGGGATATTGCATGTCTAAAATCAAGAAGGGAGTGTGGCAGGGTTGTATCCTTTCACCATATTTATTCAATCTGTATGCTGAGCAAATAATCAGAGAAGCTGGACTACATGACGAAGGATGTGGCACCAGGACTAGAGAAAGACCCATTAACAACATGTGATATCCAGATGACACAACCTTGTTTAGAGAAAACTAAGATGACTTGAAGCACTTACTGATGAAGATTAAAGACTACAGTCTTCAGTATACATTATACTTCAACATGAAAATGAAAATTGTCACAACTGGACCAATAAGGAGCATCACAATGAAAGGAGAAAAGATTGAAGTAGTCAAAGATTTCATTTTACTTGGATCCACAATCAACATCCATAGATGCAGCAGTCAAGAAATCAGACATTGTATTGCACTGAGCAAATCTGCTGCAAAAGACCTCATTAAATCATTGAGGAGCAAAGATGTCACTTTGAAGACTAAGGTGCACCTAACCTAAGCCATAGTATTTTCAATCGCTTCTCATGCATGTGAAACCTGGACAATTAATAAGAAAGACTGAAGCGTTGATGCCTTAGAATTGTGGTGTTGGCAAAGAATGCCGAATATACTGTAGGCTGCCAGAAGAATGAACTAATCTGTCCTAGAAGAAATGTAGCTGGAATGCTCCTTGGAAGTGAGAATGGCTAGACTTTATCTCACCTACTTTGGTCATGTTGTCAGAAGGGACCATTCCCTGGAGAAGGATTCATGCTTGGTAAAATGGAGGGTCAGAGGAAAAGGGGAAGGCCCTCAACATGATGGATTGACACAGTGGCTGCAACAATGGGCTCAAGCACAGCAAGGATTGTGAAGATGGTGCAGGATCACGCAGTGTTTGGTTCTGTTGTACACTGGGTCCCCGTGAGTCAGAACCAACTTGATGGCACCGAACAACAACAATTTATAGACAGAGAGGGAAAGTTTTAGATAAATATAGATATGTATGTGTTATATGTATATATTTT